AGGGTAGCTGAGAAAAGGGTGATGAGAATATACTTTTCAGCATGAGTAAGGGATTAAAAGTTTAGCTACAACATTAAACCATCCATCACTCAAAACCACTGTCTGCTTTCAAGCAGAAAAATACACAATTACCCAACAAATGTTCAGGCACGATTTAATGCCACCTCTTGTTAATTCTACAGTATCAGAAATGCCCCATGAATAAGTGTGCATTCCAAAGTCCTGTCTCTAATCCTCTTTGAATACAAATCATCACTGCTTGTTCTTACCTCCAAGACTAACTTCTTCAAAGAAGGGGGGGGGGGAAGGGGGAAGGAGAAAAAAAAAAAAGAAGAAGAAAAAAGGTTTCTCTGAGCACAGAAAGCAATGGGTGTGGTGTTTTGATTTATTATTTCTGCACACAAGAAAGCCTCTTTTTCTCTCAGTTAATAACTGTAGTTTTTTTCTGAACTTCCAGGTAGTAAGCTAAGGACTGAATAAGTAGGTAGATCTCAATTTACAGAGTGTGAATCCAATAACAATTATTTCAATAACCCAGGTATTTCCAATTTTCATTCTGTATACTTGTGAAGGAAGCAGAAAGCAATTTCTCATCTGCAATACAGAAAACAGCTGGGAAGAAAGTAAGAATGGAAGAAAAATTCTCATGCCTTTCACACATCTTGAAGTTAAAACAAAGAAAGTGCGCAATCAGAACTATACACTTTTCAGCTTAATTTTGTTTTATAAATATTTAAGCCTGCAAATATAACTGAGATCAAAAGGATACATACATTTATGAGATATACAAGTATATCTAAAGGCAGAACTACTATTGCAGTCACGTCTGTGGTTTGTTAGTGAAGGGAGCAAGGTGACTTATTGCAACAAACCAACACAGAAATAGGATCCAAGAGAGCTATTCCAGGAGGGGGAGGCGGAGAGGAAGAAAAAAAAATGCATTTGACAGTTTGAGTGCTTTGCTGGATTGGAACTGCAGTACTATGATGCAATGAAGAAACAAAACATTATACCACATTTTCCTCAGACCTAACAGTAGGTTAAAACAGGTACAGAATCAAACTGTAGATAGCAACTTTCATTACCTTGTGTTAACCAGTCTTAAATCATTTGTTTAGCATGCAAAAGTACATTTTTAATATTTAAGGGACTTTAAAAGAATGGGGAAAAGTTCATCTTCAGGTTCAGGAACTGAACCCCTGAAGAACACGGGAACCATTTCTTTTTACGTTTTTCAAGGACAACTTCTGAACACAGATGGGAAAAGTTTTATCTGTAGAACTTCATAACTCCTTTAATGAAAACAATTTGTAACAAGCTAGCATTTGACAGATGGCTTCTACCTTCAACAGTTCTCTCCATTTTTCCCTTCCATCCTAACATTAGGATTTACAAACGACTCTGCAACTCTGGACACATGATATAGTACTCATAGTATCACTATTAAGAATCTGTAGTTCAGATGCTAATTAAAAAAGTCTAAATGAAAAACACTGCTCACATTCAGTGTTAGTATAGCTCCAGAATTCTGACAATAATTGCACCCAATAAGATATATCTACCAATGCAATTAAACATGAAAGGCTCCACATTATGAATTTCATGCAAAGGTGTTATACCTTTCAGTTTTGCCAGATTTAGGCAAAGTTGTTCACCTGAAACACTTAAGACTACTAAATTGGACAGACCCCTGGGAGTTCCCCAGGGGTTGGTGCTGGGGCCTGTCCTGTTTAATATCTTTATTGATGACCTGGATGAGGGCATTGAGTGCACCCTCAGTAAGTTTGCAGATGACATCAAGCTGGTTGGAAGTGTCAATCTGCCTGAGGGTAGCAAGGCCCTACAGAGGGATCTGGATAGCTGGGCTGAAGCCAATGGAATGAGATTCAACAAGACCAAATGCTGGGTCCTGCACTTTGGCCACAATAACCCCAGGCAACAGGCTTGGGACAGAGTGGCTGGAAGACTGCGTAGAGGAAGTGGACCTGGGGTTGTTGATTGATGCTAGACTGAACATGAGCCAGCAGTGTGCCTAGGTGGCCAAGAAGGCCAATGGCATCCTGGCTTGTATCAGAAACAGTGTGACCAGCAGGAACAGGGAAGTGATTCTCCCCCTGTATTCAGCACTGATGAGGCCGCACCTCGAATACAGCATCCAATTTTGGGCCCCTTGCTGTAAGAAAGATATCAATTCCCTGGAGCGGGTTCAAAGAAGGGCAACTAAGCTGGTGAGGGGTCTGGAGCACAGGTCTTATGAGGAGCGGCTGAGGGAGCTGGGATTGTTCAGTCTGGAGCAGAGGAGGCTCAGGGGAGACCTTATTGCTCTCTATAACTACCTGAAGGGAGGTTGTAGTGAGCTGGGGGTCAGCCTCTTCTCTCATGTGACTAGTAATAGGACTAGAGGGAATGGCTTCAAGCTGCACCAGGGAAGGTTCAGGTTGGATATTAGGAAATACTACTTCTCTGAAAGGGTGGTCGGGTGCTGGAATGGGCTGCCCAGGGAGATGGTGGAGTCACTGACCCTGGAGGTGTTCAAAGAACATTTGGATGTTCTGTTGAGGGACATGGTTTAGCGAGAACCATTGGTGATGGGTGAATGGTTGGACTGGATGATCCTGTGGGTCTTTTCCAACCTTAGTGATTCTATGATGCTATGATCATTAGATGGACAAAGAACCAGCTGCAGGATTGAATCCGAAGACTCGGTGTCTAGATGGAGAACCGCGACAAAAGGTTCTCCATCTCAGGGGTCAGTGCTGGGACTGATGCACTGTAACATCTTCATCAGTGAGATGAAGTTGTGTGACATAGTTGACACACATGGGATGTCATCCAGAGAGACCTAGACAGGCTCAAACAGTGACCCCAGGAGAACCTCATGAGGTTCAACAAAGCCAAGTGTAAAGAGTGCTGCAAAAAGCGGTTTCAAACAAGAAGAGAGGAGATTTAGATTCGATATAAGGGAGAAGTTTTTACAGTAAGGATGATGAGGCACTGGAACAGGTTGCTCAGAGAGGTAGTGAATGCACCATTCTTGAAGACACTCAAGGCCAGGCTGGATGGGGCTTGGAGTAACCGGATCTAGCTGGAGCTGTCCCTGCTCATCGCAACAGAGTTGGACTCAATGACTTTTAGGGGTCCCCTCCAACTCAAATGATTCCATGAAATTAAAGCTCAGTTGCACTACAGGACAAGTGCCTATAACAAGTCAGATACCAAACATGAAAAGTGCATCCTTGCATCAGGATGAAGAAATATGAATCACCACAGAGATAACATATCTATCCTTCCCTTCCCTCCGTTAAATTATTTCTGCCAAATTTTAGTACTATGATTTGCATCTGGTGTAAGTAGAGCTTTACAACCCTACTCAACACAGAACAAAACTATACAAAGTTATACCTCTGATAAAACCATTCTGCAAAAAGATACCAGCTGGGGAAAAAAAGGACTTATTGTGGGTTGGCTTTTTGTTTGTCTTTTGTTGTTTCGTTTTTTGCTACTATGCATGAGATCAGTTTGGGTATGAACTGTTATAAGAAACTCAAAAATCACCATTAAGTTAAATTTAAAGCACGTATAGACCCAGTCCTTTAAGGCAGGAAACCACTTACTTCACATAACTGCTGTAGTTTCTGCTCTTAGCACTCTGTGCTGCTTTTCCACTGAGCTCTGCTTCACTTGTTTGCCCCTACTTTCCGAGAAACTGCACTTCCTCCAAATGGAGCCCCATTTGCTGAGCCCTGTGCAAACAGATAGTGAGGCACAAAGCAGAGAAGCAGCTAAGTTCTACAGGAACTCTATAAAGGGAGCCCTTCAGAAATAGTTTAGGTCTGTGTGCAAAACCTTCAATTTTTCACAGCATATCTACTGCATCTCTAAGGCCTGCAAGAATATTAGCTCCCACATGCTTCCATTACCTCCTTTACTGAAGCATCCCAAGAATCCTGTGCATTTGAAAGCATCAAGTTAGAAGCCAGCTTCACACTACGTACTTGTGCTGAAATTAATCTCACTCTAAAAAGCGGTGGGAAACCTCCTGGATGCTAAGGCCTAGCAAGAAGATGGGAGCTCAAGTCTGCACGAGTTAAGGCCTATTCATCTAAAATCCCTCAGGAGAGGTCACCAACTGCGCACCCTTCAATGAAATCACACACCAACTCTACAAAAGAAGCTTTATAATAGAAATTGACCTAAGAAGGAAATAAAACAGAACTAAAGACTGATCCAAGCATGACGGATAAACCAGGTGCAACACAGAAAAGCTTTTGTGCTGCCCTCAAATCCATCAATAACAAGTGTCCTGGAATTTAGCAACTCAAAAGATTGCAACAGAAAAGATTCATACTTGCAGATTCTACTCTAAAGCTGCTGAACAACTGCTCTAACTATTAAAAAGTTTCAATGTTTACATTTAAATCTTTCTGTAGGATTTTATGAGTTACCGTTTTCTAGGATTCCTCAATACATTTTTTACTACCAAATTGGAAACAGAATATTAGCCTTAATATTGGGAATGCCACAAGATGAAGTCAAAGCTATTGTCTGTTTTGGAACTCGTGAATGGTATAAAAAAAGATAACAAAAAATGTCATTCTCATCTTCCATTTCCACAATAGCAATACCACACCATATTCTGTAGTGAACTCTCTATATCTTTTCATTTGGTATGGATGTATATTGAAATTTGAGACAGAAAGCATCCCAAAGTTATAAAAACAAGATTTCAAGAGAAACAGTCCTTAACTCCATATGTGTTCATGCAAACACACAGAGTAAACACACTTATAAAACTGCAGCAGAAATCCTGAAGAGTAATACAAAAATACTTGTTCTCTGGAAGCGAGGTAGAAATTGAAATCCTAACCATAGGAGAATAGTAACAAAATTAAGAGCCACATTAGTCCTCTTAGATAAAAACAAAAATAAGGGTAAAACAAGATTTCATAAAAAAAAAATAATAATAATAAAGATAGTAATATCAACTGTCTCAAACTAAACAATAGTATCACTTAGCCAATAAAATAAGTGTCACTAGCTTCCAAAAAAACCCAAACAAAAAAACAACACTGTAACAAGGGTTTTGAAAAGTGCTAAAAAAAAAAAGATGAGAGAGTAAGGACTACATCATACCTAGGAAAAACTATGTTTTTACACTAGAAAACAGCTCCAAATAAATTAGCCCAGTAAGAAAACAGTCATCAATTTGATGCTTTTACTGAACAGAAGGTTTTATATTCTAGAAAGATCACTGCAGTGCTGTAGCTATTCTGCCATGAATGTGTGAAATAACATCGACTTACTAATTTATTCATATGCTATTAGTCAACCAAGTACATATACAATCAAGTAATGCAGTAAGTATCTAATATTACAAATCATTTTTTAAAAGCAGCACAGCTCTGATCATCATCATAAGGAATTCATGTTTCACTAATAGCATATTCCTTATTCCTCATTGTTTTTCACTTATTTTCTGTAAGTTAAAGCAGTAAGGCAACTGGCAGAATGAAATAGCTGATGTGCTAGAAAAGGAGTAGAGATTATTTTAGTATTGGTTATTCCAAAGAATACTTAATAAAAAAAAAATGATTTGAGTGATGTTTTCTTTTCTTGTGTTAGTCTGAAGTGGGTTTTATTTATGCTTTCATTAACTGCAGATGCAGCCTTCAGTTTTGCACAGCAGAAACTTCACTGAACGAGAAACCTTACTCATCTGGCCTCTCCCAATTGCTGTTCAACTATATTATCGTCTCTATTGGACAGCAACCTTCTTTCTGACTAAAAAGGCGACTGCTTGTCTTTAGAGAAGTCCCTCCACTATAAATTGAGTCAACACAGTGGCACTTCATCAAAGACAGTTCATCAGAAAAAAAAAATCGAACATGAAATGATTTTAAACACTAGATTGTGCAGTCAGATTGATATGGTAGTATTTTTCCACTTTTATTGATTGTAGAGTTTAATCTGTTTTATACAGAAACTCATTTTATGTAGATTTTTAAGCAGTCTCATTCTTTACAAACACAGAACAGCTGTTCAGCTCCAACAGTTAAGACAAGAGGGGAATAAAGGGAACAGGTAGTAACATTAGATAATACAAGTAGATATTGAGACATTTGCTTCATTTACTTTTTAATCTACTTTGTTTGTCATTCTTCTTTTGAATCATCTGTAACTCCTCCTCATCACAATGAGGCCTTTGAAGTGATAGCTTTGATGCGCCAGTTCTTTCACTTCAAGGCTAAGTGATAACACTCTTGAAATCGACAATCTTTTCTGGATATTTCCCAAGTCCTAGAACAGTTTGTTTCACCTGAAAGATTTAGAAGATAGAATAAGAAACAAGTTGTTCATCAAACTCAGGCTGAATAAAATTGCATGAGTCAGAAATTCTCAGACATAGCCCCATCTTCCTGGTGAACTGTTTTGAATAGTGCAGATAAATTAAACAGGTAGAGTTGACTGGCTTCAATTTTTAGGCAGATTTAAAAACATGTACTGCTCTTTAAAAAAAAAAAAAAACAAAAAAAAAACCACATTATGTTTGCATCTTGAAAAAGCACAACAAAGCCACAGCACACAAAATGAAACTGTGCATCAGAGGGACAGTAGAGCCTTGCTTTTGCTTCTCATTTGCCCAGACTAACAATTCACAAGCAACTTCTAAACTAATGAGTAAATCCAATCTGTCAACATTTCTTAAATTCTGATTCACATAGATAGATAAATAGTTGAGATATAATCTAAAATGCAACTTCACTTTTATTTCTTCTATTGGACTAGAATAGAAAAAGCTACACAAGTGTCAGCATTTTACAAAGCTAAGGCCATGAGAAATTAGGCTCTGTAATCTTAGCCCACAAGGAGTTACAAATACTTTGGTTCACAATACAGCTGTTCCTTTGGAAAAGTCATAATCCTATTTACAACTATCTACAACCCTTATCAAGTTTTGAAACTGGACAAGATAGAATATTGAAGTTTATTTTAAATTGAACAGTAGACTCAAAAGCAGATAGAGAAAGAAGAAAAAGGAAGGAAAGAAAGAGTCCACTGAAAGAGTTTTCTTGAGGGAAGAAGAGTAGACTAATAAATACCCAAATACACACAGATGCAGAAAAAATCCCTAGAGAAAATAAACAAAAGTTTCAGAACCACCAAGTAACAATTCAAAGCAAATATTTCTTTGACATTTAATTCTCAATACTGGATACACACCTTTCAGATAAAAGTGACTTTAAAAGGTTTGTTATTAAAAAGATAGACCCCTTGAAAACTCATTTATTTTACACTTGCAGAAAAACTAAGATAAGGGACAGAGACATAGATTAGGTCACCTGCTCTTAAAGCATGTGCCATTCTGCTGATGGATAGTCTTCACATGTTTAGATTAAAGTTGAAAAAAAATGAAGAGCTACAGAAAATTCTGAGATAAAATCCCTTATATCAACACAAACATTAAAAGATACATTCACAAAATTAAAAAAATCGAGGAAGGAGGGGAATGGGTGGACGTGAGACTTGATATACCACGTTAATTTCTCCAGCTATCGAATGCTAATTTCCAAAAGCCAAATTCTGGAACTTTTTTTTGTCAGATCCAAGCAATATTACTTGGTGACTCCAGCTTTTTCTACATTTTTCATTCTTTTCACTCAAACATGCAAGCACACACACACACTCTCTCTAAGAGGATGAACCAGTCTTTAGAACTGGAGTTGCTGGATGCTCAAATGGATCCCACACCCCTGACCCAAGCTACAGTACAAATACAAGCCCATTATAGTGGTGGTTTCTCATGGTGCTTTTGAAAGCTGCCAGCTCTACCACCTCACCTAACATCAAAATTATGTTCTCATCCTGCCCCTTCATCTTTTTCTAAACTTTTCCGACTGCTTGCATCACTAAAAGGGGTTGCTTACTATCGGCAATAGCTGCAACTGAAAAACCTACATACTGTGGCCATGGTTATAAGAAAAAAAAAAAAAAGTGTTAAGTACTGTTCTCTTTTGTTTTCCAAACTGTTCTGAAGCCATGCACTCAGCAGACACCAATTTCAGTATTTCTCATGCTGGTGACTCCTTTGCCATCCGCACTAAAGGCAAAGGACTCAAGTCCTTTATCAGCTACACGCCCAACGCTAACCTTCAATTACAATGACACAGAAACAATGCTGAGTTTATCTAAAACATACTTAGTCTCTAAGTCTTCTCATACAAGAAGTGCTCCTGATTAAAGCATCTGGTACACATCTTGGACAACAGCTTCCCTTCAAAAGGGCAAGAATTCTACATTGCTGTTGAACACCTGTTGTACAACATTATTATTGGGTTTATTCCATTATCAGCTGCTTTCATTACTACTAAGGGAATTTTTTTTTTTGAATGGAGCTGCTGAAAACAGCAACTAGCCATTCCAGGAGATGGCAGATGTGAATTGTCAGACATACGTGAGGGAGGAGTTTAGGATTTTTGAACTCTACTTGAGGAGGTGGAAACAATTAAAATATTTAATGTTAAAACTGATAACCTACAATAGGTTTTCTGTTACTGAACACCATTTTAAGAAAGTGATTTTTTTTTTTTAAATCAGGCTATTAGCTTAAATACATTTCATATATGACTTTAAGAATGCCTTATTAAACACAAAACAGTAAGTGATAGCCTTGAGAATAACCTTGGTTCATTGGTGGGTTAGTGTGCAAAGCAATTAACTCAGTTTTATTGATTAGTTTTAGACACAGGAAGATTGTGTATTTATGAAATCAACTTGAGGCAAAGGAACGTACACCAAAATTTGTATACTACAGTTCACACTTCACTTTAAGAGAAGGTACTAACTCTGTCAATAAATACCATTTTATTCCCTTAACTATGAACAAGTGCTGCTAGCATTACCGAATACAAACAATGCAATTTTGTGTTTAGATTTTCATATATTCCTTTGCACTGTTCTCCAGAAATGTTTTAACAAAGAGTAAAACCATATTTATGGGCTTGACAACACTGCAAATAAGGAGCAAAGCTGACTTTTTGAGCATAGGGTACTGCAATTATTCAAGTCTTGTCTAAGTGATTTTAGCATTCAGAACTAGTTCTCTGGCAACTTCACTGAGAGCCTTCTGAATAAGGAAGAGCACCTTGAACTTCTTGGCGTCCTTTAACATAAGTGAGCAGTATGTACTTGCAGTCCAGAAGGCCAACTGTAATCTGAGTCCATCAGAAGAGGGATAGCCAGTAAATTCCTCCTTACTCTGCCCTTGTGAGTACATCTGGAGAACTGTGTCCAGGTCTGGGGCCGCCAGCACAGGAAAGATGAGGAGCTTCTGGAGAGGGTCTGGAGGAGGGCCACAAAGATGCTCAGAGCGCTGGAGCACCTCTCCTGTGAAAACAGGCTAAAGGATCTTGGTTTGCTCAGGCTAGAGAAGAGAAGGCTACAGGGACACCTCCTTGTGGACTTCCAGTATTTAAAGAGAGCTTATAAACAAGAGGGATGCCAACTTTTTGCAGGGATAAATAGCGATAGGACAAGCGGGAATGGCTTTAAACTAAAGGAGGGGGGATTTAGATTAGATATCAGAGGGAAGTTTGTTGTGTGGTGTTTTTTTTTTGTTTGTTTTGTTTTTTACTGAGAGTGCAGTGAGGGGCAGGAACAGGAGCTCTGTGCAACCTGATCTAATGCTTGATCTAGATGGCTGGTCATCCCGCTTCTAGCAGAGGGGTTGAAACGTGATGATCCTTCGGCTCCCTTCCAACCCAAGCCATCCTGTGATTCTAAAATCACTCCACAGAGAAGCGTGGCCAACAAAGAAAAAAAAAGTGTCCCCGAAGAAGTTTTTATTTCACATGCCTGCTTATTCTTGTTTGCCATCCTCTGTACTATAGAAAAACACATGGTACCTCCAAACAGTTTACAGATCTGATGACAAATCTGGGGATAATGCTGGGCAACATTCACCAAGAAAAGCCATCCCCCTCATACAGGAGATCTCGGTCAGAAACAAAGAAGGTGAGCAGTGCTGAGAGGGTGAGGGAGATAAATGATCCTTACAAAAGCTGATCTGCAGAACGTAACCTATCAGCCCTCACATATGACATAAAGAGCACTGTGTTCTGACAAAAACTTGCGTTTCTCACTTTTTAAGCCAAATTATTCCTTTGCGTCTCCTTTTACCTGTCTAGTTCTAGAAAAGTCTATAATGACAGTGAAAATGAAGGAATATGTGAGGAAAAAACACAGCACTTGCAGAACTGATGTATGTCATCGAGATTGCTCAGAAGGGCCTCTAATAGAACACACTAGAGGGAAGATAAGGTTGGGGGAAGGAAGAGATAAAATACAGTTTAAACAAATCCTGAATTCATACACCGAAGGACAAATAAGAAGTTCTACCCTCAGGTTTAATTATGGAAAATAAACACATCTTGAAATTATTTCGACTTTTGGAAAGCAGCAGAGATCATGCTTCAGCAAAATGAAAAGGAACTTAGAGTTCTGTACCAGTAGAAATAAACTACCAAGAAAAAAAAAACTGCTCTGAAGCCCAAAACAAATCTTAATAATATCTAAAAAAAAGTAGAGAGTATAGTGGTATGAATAATATATATTCCAGATTACAGAAAATAAATACTTGTTCTCGTAATGAAATCATTCCTTCAGAGACAAAATAGAATACAGTTGTTTTTTTCTTTTTCGCACAGCTGAGTTCTTACATTTTTATCTCCTTAAAAGGAGGAGGACTGCATCCCTAATGAAATCAGTCTTCTTTGAGGGTACCAGGGCAGGCTACAGGGCTCTGAACTTTCTAGAAATTATACTGAAATCTTGTAAAATTTTTAGGAAAATAATGTGTTTATTTCCAAACACTAAAGGACTAAGTTTGTGTAGTCAGAGGAAAGAAAAGTGTAGGAAGGAGGAAATGCACAATGTGTTAGGCAACATAATTGAAACAGCTACTGGAGGATCAATATCAGAATCGCACTTGGTTTTCAGTGAATGAAAAGACTAAAAACAAAAGGGACTGTTTTCCAGCACAAATACCAGGTTTTCCTGCTCACAACAACTTGCAGGAGACTTTTTGCAGCTTGAATTAACTTGCTTTCTACACTGGTTCAGCATACAGAATGAGGTGTTAAAACTGCACATTGGCAATATCTTCAGCTACAGCTGAAAAAATCAATTAAAAAAATCTTGAAGTTCTTCTCTAACAACCCTGCGACAACCGGCTACAAACATAAGAAAAGCAAACTTATTTCTGGCATACACACAGTGCCACAAAAACCTAGCTCCTTAAAATAGTTACCTATTTAAAAGGGAAGCTACTTCAGTATTCTGGTAGTAATTTCACTCACATTTTAGAGACACCTATTGAGCCCAACGAACAGATGTATTTTCTCAAGAGAACGTTAACCTTCACATGAAATTTGCCCTACATTTAAAATAATAATAATTAAAAAAATTTTGTGCACCCAATATGAAAAAGAAAGGGTAAAATGAAAACAAGTCACAATACATATGTAATACTTATAAAAGATATGAAGCTTTGAGATATGACTGTTCATTTTCCAGGGTAAAGTTTTAAACAGGTTTTTCATCCTTACAAGCAAGTAGTAAAGTTTTGTAACAGAGAAAGAACCTGCTGGAAAATGAAATCACATTACTTTCCATTCCTGTTTAAAAGTAAAAAAAAAAAAAAAAAAAGAGAGAGAGAGAGAAAGAAAGAAGAAATTGGTTCATTCTCAGACTTCCTTTCCAGAAGTTAATACAAGCTATGAGAAATCATTCTCAATGTCATACAGCACCTTGCACTGCAACACTGACTAATAGAGCTGGTCTAATAAAGTTGGTCCCTCATGCTACTACAATAAAGCCAAATACCACAGCAGATGCCTAAAAAAATCCCTGGTCAACAACAAAAAAAATTATTAGATGAACATCTTTTTTTGTTGCACAACCAGAAAACTGTAATCAACTTTATCCCTTTCACAGGAAGAAAGAATTACAAGAGAGAACAAAGTGAAATAGCTGTCCTGGCAATCAATACTTCTCTTACCCTTGAAGAAACATACTGCATGTCTCATCCATTATGAGAAATATATTAATAAAGGAATGCAAAGTCTAGAATTCTCAGGCTGCCAAGCTTTGCTGCAGCACAAGAAAACCAAGTTTGGCTTCCTCTTACTCCTACTCATGATCTTATCAAGTTCTCGTATTAGCCTTCCAATGACTCACATGCAAAGAAAAAATTTCAGCTCTGAAATGACTTCTTAATTACATTACCGATAAAATTTATATAGATGTAAACAAGAACAGAGTGCTTTATCAAACTAAGATAGGAAAATTGCAACTTGCTAACCCTAGTTTCTGTGTGTATGCGTATCTGTGGTTTGATGAGATTCCCATTCTGAAAAATGGTCTATTTAACTATGGATTTATTTGTTTACTAGCTACACACCTCTTGGTCTATGGATTAAAGCTTTGCCTGCTAAGACAATTCTGTTTCATTGGTGAAAAAGTTAAAGATTAACTTGGCAAGTCTGCCAGAGTTATCTAATTTATACACAGAAATATTATCTAGGCAGCGTTTCTTTCCATCTTGAGAAGGTGCCTGAAGAAAAGGACTTCCAACATTTTCCTAAACACTAGAAGAAAAGCATGCTGCAGACATTGCTCCAAGTGCTCATGAGATAAAGCTAACAGGGTATTAGAAAACTGTCAAACATACAGCAACAGCTAGCTGTTCAGTGCAGTTAATACAGGCTACCTCCCCAGCTACCTCGGCATTGAGTCAAGGATGTAAGCAAGTTACCAACATTGAAATTTTTACATACACATTTTAATACTAGAATTTTCCGAATTATTTTTATTGCACAAATTTACACAAAGAGTAGATACTCCTGGCATTTGTATTTTTGCAAGACAATTGTAAGACTTCAGAACGAGGGCACAACAGCAGTGTACTGCAACACGATTTGTTTCTATCTTAAGCACTAAATAAAGAGCGAGAGCTGAATTAAATTGTTAACCAGTCTGCCAGCACAAACACAGACATGAATAAGCTGTAGTCTTCCTCTTAATCCCAAAGGCTGTGTTTTGGGTAGAATTCATAGCAGTGCTTCCACACTGACCTGCAGAAGAACAGAATGCAGTAAGAAGTTTGAAGTCTGAAAAGATTAACTACTCTGTATGATGCAATATGCTAAACTTAAATCAGGTGAAATAAGAGGTGCCTTATTTTAATTATTTATATTTAAAAACTTAGTGCTAATGCTGAGAAATATGGGGGGAAAAGAGATAAAGCATCTCTGGTACATACATACCCACCCAAAATACAACAGTAAATGAGGCTCATCAATGCCAAAGGTAAGATACCTGTAGCCTGTAATTAGTGGAAATAAACAATAGATATAGATAAATCTTAAATACCCTGTATATTACGACTACTTGGTGTAAGTTTATCTTCAACTTTATATTAAAAGTATAATACCCCAAAACCAATTCTGCAGGCATGTTGGAAGTCATTTATCATGTAAAAAGTAGGTCCTTAGCCTAAAACTCCCTTCAGATATGCACACTGTTACAAGTCTGTCCTTATTAACTGGTAAAGGAATTTTGAGCACTTAAGATCCACCTAATTGCTGAAGCAATACTGAAGATTAGTACTTTGGTATTCCTAATAGCTTGCAATTCTGCAGGGTTGCCTTGGGAAAACCTGACCTCTCTGCTGTGTCTTCAGAGTAATTCAAAATCATCATAACAAAGAAGAAAATATGGAAATCAGGCAGTGGATTCATAGAAGACACAGACTCATATATTGGCAAGTTAACCACAGAGATTTTTAAGCATACATATAAGAATTAGACATAAATTTACAGTTCAGAAGTGCTGAACAATAATTAAATTGTTTAATATCCAGGAAGATATAGATTATAGATTAACTACCTACAAAGGTATATAATACCTTAAATAATTATCATGCTTTTACAAATTACCATATATTCAAAAAAAAAAAGTATTTGCAAGAAGTTAATAAGCATTCCTGAAGAGACATTTTGGGCCAGTTCACCTCACCACTGAGTCCTCACAAGTAACAGCATTCTTTTCCTGCGCAAGCCAAAGGAGGAAGCTTTGAGGAAGCTTTGTCTTAATTTATCAGCGAGGTGCTGAACAAATGTTTTCATAACCAAGAATCCAAACCACTGTAGATTTCACAGCTTCAAAAGATACAAGTTCCAAGAATATCTTTAACATAATTCCTAACAATTCCTAACAAAGGGACGCTAGAACCTGAAGTATAACCTAAAACAAAGGCAGTCCCAGGGCAACTCTTGACTTCCTTTCAGGGGATCACTCATTACAAAGTGGTTGTTTCTTCCATGCAGTTTTTTGGGAATTAACAGAATGCAAATTTACAGTGAAGCATCCCTGCTCAAAATCTCAATATTGTCACTCAAAACTTGCCAGAATCACTAGAGAAATACAAACTTACTGACTTGAAAGACGTTGTCATCTGGGAAACTGTGCAACCTACAAAAAATCTGGCCGCTAGCCTGCTAAAAAGCAGTTATTAAAACCAATGACAGAGTTTCAGATTAGAGACCTGTTTCCAGTATCCTCGAAAAAACACCACTCACATCCACTGTTCAGATGGAGTAGAAGTTCAGATGGATGTCACAGCTTTACCCAGAACCTGGAAGAAGCACCGTAACTGAACAACCCTCCTGAAAGCTAGCAGGCAGATGGTGGGAGAAGAACCCGTTTCTTCCTAGGTTAAAAACCACGAATCCCTCTTTCAGTGGCTTGCTCACTAATGAGGCAGGGAGAGAGATGTCTTAAAAACCATAAAGATCTGTTGAAAATTCAATGAAGCTGAGGAGCAGTATCAGGAACCTGGCTAAACACAGGTATTTCTACACCTAGTATGGAGAACACCAACAAACCCTGTAGAGAGAGGGAAGAGCAGACTATACATGGTCCATACACATCTACCAGGCCTCTTTCTTGCAGAAGGACAGAGGAAGGAATAAAGTGACTAAGGAAGAGAATTAAGATCCTATGAAAAATAAAGTAGAATATAAGCAAGCAGGATGTTAATGACAGGACAGCAAGTTGGAGAACATACTGTTCTTAACTGTATCTGTTATATGTATTATATATATATATCTGTATCTGTATCATATCTAATCTGTATCTAATCATATCTGTAATATGATTACAGTATCATAACTGTAATCTTGCAGCTAAAAGCCACCAAGTTCAGAGAACCCAACCAAAACAAGCCAAAAAGGCTCCACTGTATTTCCACCCAAAATACTTGGGTTTGGCTCTTATTTTAACAAACAGTAAAGTTCTCGAAGCTTATCACTCAAGAGATATTAGCACAGAACAAAAAAGCACAGCATTTGACTTCAGAGACAAAGATTGAAATGGAATTGTCAAAATAATTTTGAGAAAAGGGCAGACTTGTGTGCAAGTGTCTCTACTGCTTATTAGCTGAAGACAAAGCGCAGCTCTGAAACTGCAGGAACAAGAGAACTAATCTGTTTAGTATAACATTAGACAAGGAAAATGTTATTGATACTATTTTACAAGCAGACTGCTAAGCAATAGGGAGGCATTTATGCTCGTAGTAAGATGCTTTCAGAGCCTAGCACAGAAGCATTAAAAGTTACTCTGAAAATTCCACTCACAAGAAGGGCGGTGTTGTATCAGTGCTTCAGCTGGCCTGTAGCACTGCCCATTTTCTGGGCCAGACACAAACAGCAATGCCATTGGAACAATCGGGAGTCTGTGATACAAATGCTGAAAAACATTTGGAAGAGACCTACAGATTGTATGTAGTCATATACACACAGCAAGCTGTGTTTCTAAATCAAGAATAATCAATATTCCTCTAACGCAACAGTCCGACAAGTTTTATTTCTACAATTTCTTGTGAGCACATCCTACAGCAAAACAAAAAGATGACACTCAAATCTGATTCAGTACTAAGAATAACTTTTCTGCAGTTGTTCTGCAGTGAAATCACTGCAATCTCTCTCTTCCGAGTCAACCAAAAATGTATTATCACAAGTGTCAAGAATATGTTCCTTTACCTAAAATTAGAATCCTATATATTCACAGTAAGCAAAGACATTTTTCTGTTAAGACTATGTATATGATATAACTTTTTAGAAATCATTACAGACACACTATGAGATAATGAGTTTGTACTTAAAAAATGATTCTAATATGGTAACTCACTACATTCTGCAGAAGATACCGACAACTGCATTTTCATACAACTTTTAGTTTATGGGAACTAAAGACATGTCTTAAGTATTTGCCTTAACGCCTGAAAGCATGTGCCACATTAACAAAGAGAACATTACAGATGCATATCAACAAGAGTGGTATGAAATCACATAGAACTCATCTACTCATCTAGAAATTCACCTTCAGGTGCACAAGTTATTCAAAACTTAAGTTCTTTTTTAAAGCCAGTTTGCATACCAAAAAGGAAGACTTACTCTTTACAATGCTGAGGAGCTCATCCTGTATTTCTGATAGATGTCCTCAAGCACTAACCAGTTTGCTAGTTTCCGTAGGCAGCTGCTGAGCACAATAAAGCACAGTGATTCCTCGCTAACTTGCAAGTAGACACCTGATTTATGGCTGCTGCACAGCACAAATTCACTTTCTGTTTCATGAAACTTAACTGAATGTTCCATCACTTGAATTCAGCCATTAAGCACCCTGCAGAAAACACTCAGTTGTAGCAGTCAGATTTCACAAAAATAATTACATCTAAAACTTCAGTCTTTTCTATCTCTTTTAATGGCACTAAGCAATGTAGAAAAGGCATGTCTAGTATTTTGGGATGGCAGGGGATGGAGAATAACACTGTGAAACTACTGAAAGGCAACAGGGACACCCTCACAATCTCACCCAGCTCTCCCACTTAGATGACACTCTACATTCCACTGGTGAAAATTAAAACCCACTTGCTTTGGCTTGATCCTTTTCTTATGCTGAAGTTCAGGATAGCAAAGTAGAGTCACAGAATGGTTGGAAGGGACCCCAAGGATCATCAAATTCCAACCCCCGTGCTGCAAGCAGGGCCACCAACCTCAGTATCTGGTACTAGACCAGGCTTGCCTAGGGCCCCATCCAACCTGGCCTTGAACACCTCCAGGGATGGACGGGCATCCACAACCTCTCTGGGCAATTTGTTCCAGAACCATACCACTCTATGAAGAACTTCCATCCAAAAAGCAACTGACAGGTATAAAAAGAAGTGCTGTCCAGAAAGATGTGCCCAATGAGTACCACCATTTGAGGGCACCTTGTTCTATAGCTCACTGTAGTTAGGGACAGCCAGTTTCACTGCATCTCAGATTGCCTACATGTATGCAAAATTTGATGCTTTCATTTTTGCTTTGACATCAAGTCTGCAAGTGATAATTTTGTGTTAAAATATAGGTTGGAAGACTTAACTGGAACAGAAATTTGCACTTTCGAGAACAGATTTTGGTAGCAAAATCTGAAGTACAGTCAACATTTAATTACACCCGCTATGCAAGAAACGAAGATGTAATCAGGAATGATTAGAAAAATTGCAACTTCAAGTTGCAGAGCTTAACACTAGCAGTACCTTACAGAAATCTCATAGCTCTAATTTTATAGAAATTAATGCTAGAAGTTTCTGAAGATGCAAATAATCAGGTACAGGTGATACTTGTTCCTTCTTGTAAATCCATAAGGTTTATGCTTAAGTATATACTCATACTGCTAATGAAAAAAACCTACAGATGCAAAAAAAAAAAAGCACCAAAAAACATGCAAAGCCTACATTCAGAGAATTTGTTTGTCATCATATTTGTGTTTTAATTTTTCTAATTCAACTTCAGCAACCCTCTTTTTTACAAGAATAGAAATGGTTAGCAGTTTAAGAACATATGTGAGTTCAGACTGGACTCATGTTCTCAACTATGCCCTTTACTCCTGGATCAGAAACCAAACAAAACATACGCCCCAGGACTTGAATAAATTTATGTCATGCAATTCCTTTCAACAAGAAAATTCAGTAATAAGGTTTAGGGAGATATAATGACTTAATAAATGCAGACAGCTTTCCAATATGATCAATACTGAATGTTGAACTTGAACCCCTATATTTCTACAGCACAGAAGCAACTATTAAGCCTAACTAGCAACACTGTTTTGGCATCAACTTTTTGCAGATGAAGAACTCCGAGGAAGGTCCCAACAATCTCATTTAAGCTTTGAAAAATGTCACATCTGACCCTGTAAAGTTAGTGTCACAACAGCTTCTAATCTCTTGAAGGGTCCCCTGTGTTCCTGTTTTGCTTATCTAGGACAAGTGAAGTATTCAGTAGGCAGATTACAGCTGGTTGAAAACATTAATGCTTAAATAACGGATATGGCTCAAACCAGCTGCATCAGCAACAGTGATTTAGCATGCCAAAGAGGTGCTACTTGGTGCAAGTTCACGTCATGTCTGTATTTGGAGTTTTGCAACCTCTACTGAGGAACAAATCGAGTATGCTTGAAGCATTCTCCCTGCAAATGAAAACAAAGCTCAAGTCCCACCACCCACTTCCTGCAGGTCCCCACTTTTAACAAAGATGCAAGATCATCCTGGGGGTGCACTCATAGAACTGATAGCTAGTGGAGACTTCACTGAGAGGGAAAATACAGAGTGGACAAAAAGTCCAGAACCATAACAGAACATAGCAGTCAAGACTCTTCACCACACAAATCCAAAGGACTTGCACCCAACCAGTTTATTACATCAGAGCTACATATATGCCAATACCTAGATTGGTTCTTAAGTTAACTAATACTTAATTTATCCCATATCACAGCAAGTTGTCAGGAGGCTTGTCTTCACAGAAACCTCTAGTTTTTCCTCAAAACTCTCCATCTGTGTGTGAAGCAAACATACCAGCAAATATTCTATAAGTAAGCTGACATGAAATTTCAGTAGTGAATTAACATTTAGGCTTATTTACATTTTCTAAAAAGTGATGATAAAGAACAGGTGGTTGGTCTGCCCACTGCCACTTTAAAGGCACAAGATCAAAAATAACATGCTCACATTCATTCTATGTTCTACCCGCTTTTCACCAAGACCCATCTGCTCCTTCATCTCTACAGTGCCCACTCCCTGCGCTCTGCCAACTCCTCTCCTAAAGCAGAGCAGCCTTTCTGACTGTGTTATGTTGATGACACTCAACTGGTATACATTCTTTCCTATTTTCCTCTTTCGCCCTTCTTCAACCTTATCTTTTCTGAGACTCTTTTTCACTCCCTCCCTTCCCCCCCCCCCAACTCTGACTTTCCTCCCTCTCTGCTTCAGGGCTGCAGAACAGCTGAATCTAGCAAAGTTTCTTTTACTAGCCCATTAA